AGTGATTTATAGCTAGATCTAGGAGTGCTTAAGTTGGAATAAATCTTGAAGATGGATGAAAGTCAAATACAACTTTTTTTGTTAAATTTTTTAAATTTTTTGTTTTTTTTTCTTGAATTGGTTTTCTGTGGTTTTCTTTAAAAAATAGGATTGGAATGATCCACTTTTTAGTGTAATTTGATGAACATATTATCAACTAGGGGAGTACTTGAACAAGAGGCATGCTTAGATGCGTTGATCTCTATTATATTGGACTCATCAACCGATCAAATGGTACATCAAATGCTTTGATCTTTATTATGTTGATCTTTTTTTTTCTTTTTTATTCATTTTTTGTATTGATTGGTGAGTTATGTGTAAAGTGACAATTGAAACGTTTCAGCTAATGTTGTTCGAAACGCAATGTACGTTAGGCTTACCATAATTTCTGTCACGGTTAGTTTCTAAATTACAGGGTTTTTTGCCCTTTATTTCTGTTTAAATGTTTGCTCTGAAATTGAAGTTACAGTTGTTTTTATAATGTTTTTGTTATGTTCGTTTTGTTGTTAGGTTGTGCCAAGGAGTATGGTTTATGTGCAAAGTGTTGTTGCTGTGTGAGCCAAACAATTGGAAGGTTTGCTTCACAAATATTGATGTTATTTAAATTACAAGTTAGATTGTGTTGAAAAGGTTCTACTGTATGTTGAATTTTTGTTTCAACAACTGTGTTTTTCTTAACTTTCGTAGGGATTTGAGTGAAGTAGAAGCTAAGCAAAAGATGCTTGAGGAGATTTTTTTATTATTTTAAATTCTGATGGGATTTGAATTGAAAATTGATGGGATTTGTTGGTTTTGTTATCAGGCTATCAAGAATGCTTGAGAAAGGGACGGGACGTCTCTACTTCGCACTGTAAGCTTCCATTTTCTCTATTTGGTGTTTACTTTCTTTCACTCTTTTTTTTTTCTAAACCAAAAGATGAGAGAAAATGAATGAGAAAACGAATTTGATTGTTGTGGAATTATTTTTCTGTTCATTTGTTTTGTGTTAGAAGTTCTCATTGATGAATTATATGTATATTGTCAGCGTATTTTCTATAAAGTTTTAGACTGTTTTAGTGTTAATCTCTTCACTTCATTTTTCTCTTCTTCTAAGTTGGCTTTTTTGTGTGGGCAGTTGTGAATTTTCAAGCACAAATCCCTTCGCTCTTTGATTCTATTTCACTCTCACAGTCTCTCACACATTGACTCTGAGATCGCTTCAGCTTCTTCAATCAGGTATTTATTTCTCTCTCTATATATATACACATGTATGTATATATATTATGTTTGGATTTTTTGTTCTCTTTGCTTTTACTATTCAAATCAAAACTTATTTGTCTATATGGTATGTTTTTTTTTTTATTTACACTACATTGTTATATAGATATATCTATATGTATATAGGAATTGTCTCTAATTTGGTACCGAATTGGAGTAGTACATGTATATTTCCTTTAAAAATATGTATATTCTCTTAAAACATGTATAATGTGATGAGACACTTATAATTTATCTAAACATCTATATACATGTTTTTAAATAAAATATACATGTTTTTAGAGTAAATATACATGTTTTTAAAGAAAATATACATGTGTCGCTCTAATCCGGTACTGAATTGGAAACTTTACCTATTTATATATGTATATATAAACTAGCCCTATACTATAAAAATTTTCAATTTTTTGTACAATACAACAGTATTTCCCGCAACAACGTGCGGGCTTTTGACTAGTTATAAATATACTAAAAGAGAGCTTTGGATCACTGTTCATGAAGACTCAATTTACTGTTCCTTTTACAGTGAAATGACACTTTTACCCTTGATTTACTGTTCCCTTCTTTGCCGGGTGCATGGGTGGTTTGGTCTTTTAACGCGTGCCTGATGGGTTGCTTTTCCGATTTTGCCTTTCTGCTTTTCTTTTTTTCCGGTTTCATCCTTTTGCTTTCTCTTCTCCTTCTTATGCCCGTGGCCTTTTGTGTATTTTTATTGGTTTGGGCCTTTTTGTCTTTCCATTGTCCTCTTTCATTGGCAGGCGATGTTTGGTAGAGGGATTCGTTCCCTGATTCGAATCATGATTCGTGGTTCGCTATAGTATTTTCTCACAAAAAATTCACGTAAATCGAAAATGGTTCGAATCACATGGTTTGAATCCTCCAACCAAACGTCCTCAACTCTCTACTTCTTTGCAGAAGCTTCTGGGTTTTTCTAACTTCTCTTACCTCTTCGATGCCCTCATTTTCTACGCCTCCCTCACTTCCAATCGTTCTTGGTACTCTGCTCTTTTCTTTCCTGTGCTTTTTGGTTTAGTACTTTTGGTGATTTTGTAACTGGTGGTTCTCTGTTGCTCTTTCGATCTTTTCTCATTCCTCTCCTTTCTCTGGCTGCCACCCATTTTTGATTGGATGCTTTGGTTTTCCTTGCCTCTGCCCATTTTTGCTTCGATGCTTTGGTTTTTCTTGCTTTTTTTGTCTCATTTGGGGGGAAATGATAGGGTTTTATTCTTTCTTTCACTTCTCTTCTTCGGGTGTTTTTATTTGTAGCTTTGGTTTGATTTTTCCCCGTGGTTTTGTTAGATGGTTCCTCCGGCTCATGTGGTTTTTGGTGCATGTTTTTTGGCTGTGATTTGGGGGAAATTTTGGGATCTTATCCCTTCTGTTTCCTCTCTTTTTCGGTTGTTTTTGTTTGTGGCTTTGGTTCTATTTTTCTTCGTGGTTTTCTTGGATGATCCTTCGATTCATCCGGGTTTTGGTGCAGGTCTCTCCGGTCTAATTTTAGGGGAAATTATGTGATTCTATCCCTTTTTTCTCATGCTTTCTTCGGCCGTTCCTGTTTGTGGCATTGGCTCGATTTTTCTCTCTGGTTTTGTTGAATGGTCCTTTGATTTATTTGGGTCTTGGTGCAGATCTCTTTGGTTTTTCTGGGCTGCCTCTACGCTCACTTAATTCGTGGTTTTAGTTTCAGTTTTTGTCTGCTTTTGGGCAATTGCAAGTTTGAGCTTTTTGTTTTGGCCGCAGGTTTTCACTTTTCTTTCCATACATTTCCCCGTCATTTGCTTTTGTACTTCATTTGTTTAGATTTTTTGGTCTTTACTGAAATTTCATCTGGGTTTTAGTGCAGTTCTTCTCCCTTTTCCTCGGTGGCTTCCATGTCCGTTTGATTTGTGGTTTTAATTTGCGTTTGATTCGTGGTTTTAATCTACATTTTAATACCTTCTTCGATACTTTTTCCCGTTATTTGCTTTTGTCCCTTATCTGTTTAGATTTTTTAGTGTTGGCTGAGATTATGGCTGAGATTAGATATAATTCATTATTAGTTGGCATACATGGTTTTTGAAAAATTCCCTCGCGATAGTTCTCCTTTGTTCTTGATTGGTCCTTTTGTTTAGAGAGGGATTTTTCTCCACATAGTTCCGTGTTGTTTCTGCTTGATCTCCATCTTCTTCTCCTACATTTATTGAATTGGTGATCTGTAGAGTCTACAGTGTTGATTTTTCTTACCACGTTGATGATTTATACACATTTTGTTGCAAAAGTATTAAATGAAACCTTGATTTTCCCCCTGCCTGAGGTGGGTGAAAAGTTTATGCAAATATATATATATATAGACACTTTTTACTTTTTTTTCCCTTTCCGTTTCCCTTTCTCTGAGCTCATTGTTATATTGGTGTTTCTCTCTCTTTTTTTTTTTTTTTTTTTTTTTTTTTTTTTTTTTTTTTTATTATAAACAATGGTTTTTTTCTTTTTTCTTTCTTTTTTTTTTTTTGCTATTTAGTTAGGGGATCTTTGTCTCTCATCTTTGGTCCAACGACTATATGCTCTCACGTGTGGCGTTGTTACAGGCTGTGCAACTGTTCTCTGCTTTTGTATTTAAGAATATAGCTGTACATAAATTTGTCATGCATATCTCTGCTTCTTTCCATTGCATTTCACGTCTTTACTTCCCTACCTCACCTTCCATCATTTACTGCTCTATTTCATCATCCATCATTTACTGCTTGATCCTTTTATCTATCTATCTTTTACTCCTTCTGCTCACATTTGGTTGGCTGATAATTCAGACTTGAGGCAATATTTATAACGCTCCAGGTACTGTTAACATTCCCTATCCATAACTTTATATAATTTTTAGCGATGTGTCGCTCTACTGTGGCGGTATTAATTTTGTTGTTTCTGTTTTGTTTTATGCCTTTATTTTCCTTTGTATTTGCTCAGTATATGATATTTATATGTTGACCTCCTTATTTATTTCCTAGTCACACGTATATATGTGTGTGCCTTTGTCTATCTCAGTTTTCATAAGTTTTTTTCACGTGGTAATGATGATCATTATTCATTTTGACCTGTTGAGTTTTGTATAATTTGTTTAAAGATTGCTGTGAATATGTTTCCCTTATTCAGATTCTATTTTTATCTCCCGTTTTTGTGTTGGATTTTTCACTGATTTCTCATGTTATTTCCACTTACTGCGAGGCCTTTGCCTTCTTTGTATTTTCAGTTTCGTTCAAAAACTATTTATAAGTCTATCAATTTTCTTTTTCAACTACAGAGCTTTGACTTTTCTATCCTCTTCTTGCAAAAAAAATTGTAGGGGGAACAAAACAGGGACTCTCTTATTTTATTTCGATCCCCTGATGATACTCTTCATCTCCTCATTGCTTTATTTGTTACTTCTTAATGTCTTTCTTTTTCACGTTTCTCTTACTTTCCTTCGTCATAAATCGCAAGTTTTATTGCTTTCTTTTTTTTTTCCTTTGTCTTTCAATTCACCTGGTAGTCTTTAGACAACTTTATATATTGTTCCGCTTATTTATTTTGTAACATATATGACCTATAATGTGTGTGTGGATATAACATTGTGCCCTTTTGTGCAGTTGTCGTTGTAGGCAGCCATAATCTATTTATCATACATTGTTAGGAACATTCTATATCTAAGCCACAGTTGCTGCCTGAAAACATTGTTATGCCTGTGTCTATTGCGTTTTTAAGCCTCTTTTGCCCATTTGTTTGTTTGCTCATTTACTTTATTATTTGTATTTTCTAAGGTTTGTTATCGTCTGTTGCCTCATCTTGTTGCTCCTGCATCATTGACCGCCGTTCGCGTTCGATTGGTCCACATTTGGCACATTAGGGAGGGTTTATAGCGTTTGAGGTATTGTTAATAGTTTCTACACGCGACTTTATAACCGTTGTTACTCACACTACATATATCAATTTCATATGCTGAATGTTTTGATAAGTTGTTTCTCACCCTGTTCATAGATGCTGCCAATCTAAAATGTTGAGAAATATTCTGCTCCATTCTTGATGAATGCTGATGGTCTGCATCTTTTTTCTTTTGTGTTTTATTAGTGATTGGTAAGTATGGATTGATCTGTTGTTTACTCCTTTCTTAATCACATATGTGCTTAAATGTTCATGTTTCACATATTTAGTCTTCATTCGGTTTTCTAATCACGCCATAATCATTCTAGCTAATCTTCATATCGCATGTTTTGGATAATTTATTAAAAAGTTGTTGTCAATGCATTTTCCTCCATCGAATTCCCACTTTGGCTACTTTTTGTCCTTCTAGGCTTAAAACCTTTTGGCTGTTCCTGTTTTGGTTTCTCTCCCTGTTCTAACGCCTTTGCTTCTTTGGTATTGCTATTTCATTGAAGGATTATCATGCACAATGTGGAAGGGAAAAAAAGACAAGCCTCTTACTTAATATTAATTCATTTATAACATGTCCTAACGTTCATTGTTCTTGTCCTATTATGTGTCTTCATTCTATTTTGTATTTTCTTACTGCATCGTACTCATATATTAACTTCCTGTTTGTGCGTTTTGTTGCAAATACTGTTCCCCCTGCAGTGGAATGCCCGTTTTGTCCTTTTTCCCTTCATCTTTCCTCCTTCCATGTAGGGGCTGCTTGGTCTTTTTAGTTCTCACACGTTGATGTAGCTGTTTTGTCCCCACTTCTTTTTCCTTCCTCGGTCTCTTAGTTCGGTGTTATACATATACGCACATATCTTTATTTATCGTAGTTTCGTTCAGCTTTTTTGCGTGGTGATGATGATTACAATTGATTTTAATGCGTTGAGTCTCATGTAAATTGTCCAGAGATTGCTGTGAACATATTTTCCCTACTTGAATCCTCATTTTATTGTTTTTGAGTTAGATTCTTTCATAATTTCTCCTTTGTTGTTTTGATTTATTCCGGGGCTCTTGCTTTCTTCGTGTTTGGT